TGAATTACTACCCAAGTATGCTTCAGAGTCCCGCTCCGCTCTCACAGCGTTGTATTTCTCCATCTTACTTGTTCACATTCTCTTATGCCACTTGATGCGGACCACCATGACGACGCAGACAACGACAAGAAAGGTCAGTGAACACTTTACTTCCTTCGTCACCAATACGAAAACCCTGCACTCGTTGCGACTGGATAATGCCTAAACAAAGGTTTCTAAATAAAGTGAAAACATTAGAGGGTAGATAGGGCATCCTTGCTGCACAGAAGAAAACACAAGAATGACGGGAGTCAAAGATTTGTTAATAATTAACCTCGTTGTGTATTTCATACACGCCATTTTGACAACTTCAATAATAATTTCCATTTTATTAGCACGGTCAAAAATTTCCCAAAGCACGTCATGGCACCCCTTATCAAATGCCTTCGCTAGATCAGGTTGAAGTATCGCAATTGGACTTTCTTCGTCTGCTGAACATTCCAAAATAATTTTTGCTATATGAGTGTTCGTCTGGATAGACCCACCTCTAATGGCACTCGTTTGGTGTTCTACACCCAAGTTGCACATCACATGTTGTAGCCGTCCAACCAGAATCCTCGCAAACATCTTGAAGTCGACATTTGAGGATGCCCTTGCTCGACACCCAGAAACATGTTGTCACACCTACTCGTCATAAGATTTAGGAATAAGAATTGAGTGCGATCAATAATATTTCGAGTTCATACGTTTCTCGTACAGTCTCAAACAGAAACGGGGACAGTTCCTTTTTGCATTTTTTTTAACCTTCCTGCGAGACCATCGGACCCAGGTGTTTTATGAGACGCCAACACATCAATCGCGTTTTCTATCTCATTCAAAGTGATAGGTCCTTCTATCAACTCTTTTTCCTCCTGTGATAGCTTATGCATCGAACTAAGTAGCCCTTAATACCTGCCATGTCTTTTGGCATTTCGGCGCCCTCGAAAAGTCGCTCATAATATTCGACGAAAGCTAATTCAATGGTATCTTTTTTGTTGACACTAATAGCGCGGTGCTGCATAATGTTGGGAATTTCATTATCCAATGTGTGCTTTCTCTCGTCAGCCAATGCTCTGCTAGTCGGTTGCTCTCCAAGAAGAAATTACTGTGCTGGAAACGCTGGAACATGTTATCCTCTATTGCACTAGTGCAGAACTCTTTTGGGCGCAATATTGCGTGCGGTGCGAAAAGTGGACCTGTATGTTTCATGGCGAAGTGCAATGTTTCTTGAGTATGTATCGGGCGAAGGTGATCGAACATTTGAAGTTCTAACCATTCTGAGCCTTCATGCACTGTGGCGGTCAAGAACGGATCACCTTCTTGTTGTCGAGGAAGGGAAACCAACGTGGAGGTATTTTGTTGAAGGTTTTTTTGAGGCCAGTTCACTGATAGTGGCTACAGAGCAGGAGAGACTAGATTTTTTAATGACGCCGAACGCTGGGCTCGGAATGTGTGGGCTATCGTACACCACCAGGTGAGGACAGTCAGTGTCTAGCTGGAGTTTTGTTCCCTTCCGGTCCCGTTTGCTGCTTTCTTTTTTTGATTTATAGACTGGACATCTGGTATTGTGGCCCTGTGTTTTCTTTTCTTCAAGCCTGCATTGTAGGTCGGACAGCCTTCGGGTACTTTTAGTCATGTACGACCCGTCTTGTAACTTACAAAAAAAGAAAAAAAAGAAAAAAGCCAAGTCGGTAGCGTGTCTGGCTGGCAACCGAAGGGTCGTAGATTCAAATCCCGCTGCCGCCTAAAATTCTTCAAACCTCTTTGTAAGGCAAATGAATTACTTTAAAAAGTGAAATCATTAGAGTAGGCGCACCGAGTTAAAAAAAAAAAAAAAAAAAAGAACGACAAAAATGAAAAGGAACTTGATAGTCTACTGAGGCCGCGTTTTCATGCATACGACAGCAGCGCATCGAATCGAGTTAGCGTATCGAATCGTTCCGTATTAGCGCCTCGATTCGTTGGCCAAGCACGTCGAATCAAGTACAATCAGATCTGTTTGAAGAGGTTGGTTTGAGATTTTCAAGCCGAATAGAGACTTTACATGAGAAAATCATGTAAAGTCTAGCGAAACGAATCGGGTGTCTGAAGGACGGGGGAAGGGAAAGAAGGAGGGAGGGAAGAAAGGCTAAGATGATTTTCAAACTTTGCTCCCCTCCCCCTCTCCGTTTTACGCCACCGTCCAGACCGTGTGGTTGCCGATGGACTCCACTAATACCCCCCCCCCCCCCCGACAGGTCACGTGGGGTGCGCTGTAATCGTTCGACGCGAGGTGTCGCCACCGGTCGATTCGAATCCATGTAAACAGTGTTTAGTGAATATAATGCGCAAACTCAATTCAATGTGCTACGGTCGCGTCCATGTAAACGCAGCCTAAGACACTTCTCAGTTCCTATACACGAACTGTGTTACGTCACGGCGCGGTGGTGGCGCGTCGGGCGCACTCCCGGCCTGGGGCTGGGGGTGGAAGTCACCATGTGAGACTTCTATTCCTGCGTTGTTTTGATAGGAACCAGCCAAAAACCCGCCTTCTCCTCAAAACGCCGCTACTGGGTCTGTACGAATGGAGTCGGGAAAGGTTTGAAGGTCAGTTTTCATCTGCACGGTTCGTCCGAGAACGTGGATATGTGCCGTGGAAAGGGAAAACCAGAAGCCGTCCGAGCACGATTGTTTGGGCGAGAAGCACTTTGGGTTTGATTCACGGATATTGTGGTCATCAAATTTATTTGTTTTGTTTCAACATGAACGCCGGGAAACCGTCAAGCTGTACGGACCACCTGCGGACTACGTTCAGTGCGTCTTCAAGTTCAAACGGCCGCCCGATCGTTCGAACTGTCGTCTGCTCTTTCAAACGCTCCTGCTTGTCGTCTGCTCTTTTAGACGACACCGGCCCGTAGACCAAATGTTGGCCCGGTACTTGCGATAAGATGTATGTTCAGGCCTCAAAAGACTTAAGTTTTAAGGTTGCTGAGCAGGCTCGATGCAAAGAGTACATACAAGCAGATGTTGATCATTGTTACCAGTGGCCATCACCAACCTGTTATGCCTGATTCTCTTGGTCCGATTCTGCTCGCGAGTTTCAGTATCGACGGCGACCATCGCAGCTACAATTCACGCTTTTGCAGCCCGAGCGACGTCGCGACTGAAAATTGCGAGCGAAATATTATCATGCAAATCGCTCAGGCCTTAGCGTCCATTCTGCGGCGTCCATGCGGTATGAATCGCCGCATGTCACATTATTCACGCGAAGTTTCGCGGTGTAACGAGCCTCGTTAATTTCTCTGAGGCCGCTGAAGTTGACAGACATTGCCAGGGAGACGTAGAATGAACAACTCGAACGTGAAAAAGGGCAGACGGACTCACACCCTCGCTGACAACATCGCATTTCAAGGGTTTGTTTATGGGCGACGGCGAGCTTCTTGCCCACACTCCATCGCGCATGCGCGGCGCCGGTGGCGTCCGCTCGGGGCGCTCCGGTTTGCTTGTAGACATGAGTTGGTGTATAGCCTAGGAGTGTGCTGGGTGCCTTGGCGAAGGGGCTGCTGACGCACCGCCGGTGAGAAGGCTTTGCCGTGTCTTGCGAGGTGGCCCAGGAACACGCACACCAGCTTTTAGCTGAGGCTTGGGACTGAGTAGGGCCTAACCGCCAAATTCAGAAACCTCACTCAAGCTACACTCAAACTGAAGGGCCCCTGCACTTTTTCGAGGACGCACGAGGGCCGGCGGTGGCCAATCGCGACGGCGGATCCGTCCTCGCGATTGGCCAGCGCCGGCCCTCGCGCCTTCCTCGAGGAAGTGGAGGGGCCCTTCAGTTTGAGTGTAATTTGAGTGAGGTTTCTGAATTCGGCGGTAAGGCCAGGCCAAGGGGAAGTCAGAAAAGCTCGCTCCCGTCGCCCGTCGGCTTCCTCTCCCGCGCCTTTCCGACTCCGGCAGGTCCTAAGTCCCGAACAAATCGAACGTCGTTTCTCGTTTTTCGTCGACCTCGGACACACACGCGCATGATGGAACCTGCGTGGCCCGTGCATGGCACGTGTACATTCCAAGCCACATAGTGCCACACACATCACAGCGCACAACAGGCGCTACGATTGCATTCATGTAAACGTAGCCACAGGTAACGTTCAGATGAATGCAACCGCAGAGCATCGAATCGAGCATGAACTAAACGCACGCAGAATGTCTTCCTACTTCTTCCTCAGCCATCTACTATCAATCAAAATAGTCAAATCTCGATTCGATGCACTAGGGTCGCATCCATGTAAATGCGGCCACAGTCTAATTATGAAAGGTGAAGTTCCTAGAAAGCGAATTCCTCAGAGAACAATTGTTTTCGGGAAAATGGAACGCTGTTCCCCTCCATGCATGCTAGAAATGCAATGCAGTGCGTATTTCGTAACACCTTATCTCAAACACTGTTGTGTGGTAAAACATAAATAAATAATATTGAGAGCAACGAATGACTTTAAAGCTAGCTCCCGAGTTCCCGTGCAGCCAATCTTCGAGCCAAATTTTTGTTTTATTTTCCTTTTCTCTCTTTTAATTATTGTTCTTGTTTGTGGTCTGCCGAGGCGATGTTCCGAATTTTTGAAGTAAACACTGTGACACCTTGAACTCACCATTGTCTTCATTTGTTCTCTTGAACTACGAACGCTCATTTTTTGAAACCATATGTAACGCAACGTGTAAGCCCAGAACGATATTGAAAATCGTTAATTTTAAATACATTTTATTAGTGTGTAACAGATGCCGTTTAATATTTTGATCTTGATACTGGTTTAAATAGATTCCCTGGGAAAGAAATATATCAAGGATACAAGAGGAAACGCTTGTGCCGCAATACAGCCAAGCTTGTAGTTACTGAACATCGCAGCATTCAGAACTAAAGAGGAGATATACATTTTTATAAAGGATAGATTCAGGTGAAGGGCACATGGCACTTTTTTTATTTAAGGGACTTGCCCTAACAAAATTGACTTCCTTTGTTAACCACGGCACCAATCATCCACAATCAACTGTTTCCTCTTCTGCATGTCGTCCCTCCATTGTGTGAGTGTTTCCCTCGTTTTTTCATTGCAGGTCTTTAAAGAAAAAAATGCAAAATTGGTTTTATAACACTAAAAATACACACACTAGCGTTTAAACACATCATCATTTGTTTTTGTTCTCATAATAAAATACATGATGAAATATCCACCCCAAAACAGGCACTAAACTGGACTTTTTTCGAAGGAGATTCTAGGGTTCTTGGAAGGATATTTCATTTCAGTACTCGAAGCAAGAGATAAACTGTTAGCCTCTTTTATATCTTAAATAAGGGTGCCGTGCAACTCTTTCTGGACTTCCACAAAATTTCGCGCTGCATTTATCTTTGGCGTTCACAACCTACAATGCATGGGTTAGACTATATCTCGTACTTTATTTTATTTATTTATTTCCTACAGCGCCCCGAAGGGCATTACAGTGGGGGGAGTCACAATACGAAAAATGGATTTTGAACACAACATAGGTCATCAAGACACATAAGTACGCAAAGTAATATACAAACTCGCAGACGCAAATAAACATGCATAAAAAAATGAACAACCTTAGTCTGCATAAAAAAAGAACACAAATGCGTTGATAATATGTTCACACTCAAATATATTGTTCAGAGACAATGCTGGAGTTGCGAGAAAAAGTAATCTGGATTTTGCAAGGCAACAATCTCGCTTGGCAAACTGTTTCATTCTTTTATCGTTCGTGGGAAGAAAGAGTTACGAAACAAATCAGACCGACGTGTATTCCCGAACGTTTTGGTCATGATCTACTCTGCGCGATACATAAAATGGCTCCAAGCAGGTAATGTGATCTTTCAATTTTAAATAAACTATAAGAAATACTGTGAAACAATTTTAGACACAAATGCTTACGCCTAACAACAAGCGATTTCCATTGCAAACCCTTTTTTATGGTGGACACACTGCTACGAAAGTTGTGTTATGGCAGTCTCAACGCAATTACAGAAAAAAGGGACGTTAAAGGAGCTGTGCAACGATTTTAACGTTGAAAGAATCGGCATCTTCTGCTTTTGATATTGTTCACCTTGTCACAAATGACAGAAAACACACCTCCTTTCAACGAAATGTTGCGATTCCGCCGCGTAATAGCGAGGCAAAAATTAGAATATTCCCCGACCTGCAGCCGCGAGCGGCGGCCATGAGAAACAAGCGGCGTGACGTCGCTGGGGAATCTCGTAGACAGATAGCAGTATTGTGCGAATACCCGCTCGATAAAAGGTAACTTTTCTATAAATCTTGTCGTTCCAACATATATATATAAATGCGTCAAAAACCTGGTATCATCGACAAACTTTTATTATACGGAGTTTTAGTGGCGCCATCTATCCTAGGTCCAGAAAACCGTCAGCTCTCTCTGCTACCGCGAATAGCCGCCAGAAGCCAAAGGGGGAGGGGGACAGGGCCGGACGGGCTATGGCCGGACCTGGATGAGACTTTCCTCCTTTCACCATATTGTTCGCGCGGCACCCGCCAGCACGTGGTCACGCGGTAGCGAGCGGATGAGTTCTCACTGCTCACTGATGGCTCTAAAGAGAGAACTTTTCCGGAACACCGCGCCTACCCCAACAACGTCACTGCGCACGTGACCCGAAAGACGACGTACGAGTTGAGAGGCGGCAAAAACCTGGAGCTTTTTCATTTTTGTAAATAAAAGCTAGGGTATCCAAGCAAAACCTGTTTTCTGTAGTTCACTTCAAACGTGTCGGGCATCAACTTCCACAATAATTTAAGCAAAGCCCTGAAATTGTTGCACAGCTTCTTTAACTTTCTCAAGTTAAAGGGGCACTGACACCCCAAAGGTCGTATTATTTTTTATCGTCAAAAACTATGCAAGTTATAGACCGTTCCATTAGGGTCATAGCAGAGAGGGTAAAAAAAGAAAAAATGATTTCCCCCTCTCACCCGCGGATCCGCTTCGCGAACGCGGATCCGCGCGTTCTCAACCGCAAAGCGGCTAGGATCGAGCGTTTGGAGCGCGTTTTTGCCAACCGCTTCGGGACCGATTTCTCCCAACCGCTTTCACGAACCGCAAAGCGGCAACCAATCACAACGCGACGCTGACGTGACGTCAGTGACTTTCGAAACAAGATGGCACCTGTCGCTGGTGAGGCGTCCAAGGAGCTGTAGTCCTAGCGTTGTAGTCTTAGCTTTCGACAAATCAACAAAGAAACTTCACGTTCACGTCCGTCACTTGAATCTGCCGCGAAAAGAATTGACTCGTAATTTTAACGGGCTTCGCACCGGTGATTCGGTTCGGGTAAGAGTTTGTTGATTATTCCGGGTGCCACAGCCCAAGCTCGCTGCCTTGTTAGTCTCTGCCTCTAGAACGTTAGAACCCGCCCCTGACCGACCGAAATGTCAGCTTTTCTACCCACTTGGATAGTCGCGTGAACTATTGAAAGCTTTCGACACAGTGCATGGCCACCACGAAGGACGATAGAGACATCGTGAGCTCGATTGCGTCGCCAACGCACTACCGCAAAGGGGGCAGGGTACCTGCGCTAGCTCGACCTGTAACGTTTACCACTAATAAAATAAATAACGGGAACCTACTCAAGGAATGAAGTGTACGTACCAGACAATGCAGAGGTAATCCATACGGCGTCTATTTGAGCTTAATGTCAAACAAACAGTAGACTCGATCGACGAGCGAGTGACGAGAGGAGAGTCCGCCACCGACGAAGCCACGACCGGCTAGCACCGAACACATTCCCCCGCATCAGGGTCTGCCCCACCGCTCACAACTTCGAAAATGATAAGAGCGAACAACGAGGGGGGAAAACGTTCTCTATCCCGAAAACAAGGTCAGCTATTCATGCGGGAAGGGTCCACTTCGAAGAAAAGTTCGGGAACATCCTGTTCTGAGTCAGCATGGCGCGCCTAGCTGGGCTTTGCTTGTGGGCGAAGTCGAGGGAATCACAGGCGAGTTTGGCGGGTCCATGCTTCGTTTTTCGCTGCCTGAACTCGCGATACGTGCAAACATCCCGGAGAAAAATCTTCGGAGTGCCAAAATAGCAAACGTTTGGCTTTGGATCTTGAATTAAAGTGGATTTTGGATTGTAAAACAGGGTTGCCAAACGCAAGTCTCACAAGATCACGCGTGATCGCCGAGAAACCGCCAACCGCCTCTCGGTGGGTCTCAACGGGGTCGCTCGCGAACCGCAACCGCGACCGCTTCGCGAACGCGGATCCGCTTCTTCCAGTGTGAATGCGCCATTAGTGCGCCGGCGCGGCGCCTTCGCCGGCTCCACGGCTTCCGTGACAACGTATCTGCGTTGCTGTGCTTTTCTTTGTGTTTTTCTTTTTTTTTTTTCTGAGGTGTGTTTGCTTTGCAGCCAATGGTTTTTTTTGTGCCGTTTCGCTCAGCCAATGGGTGTTTAGGTGTCGTTTCGCTCAACCAATGTATTTTTAGGTGCCGTTTTTCGCAGCTACAGACATGAGATAACGCCGGCTTCGTTCCATGGGGCAGTTAATGCTTTCGATATTAAATTTCGATATCCTAATAATTCTTGCAGCAAAGCAACTGGGAGGACCGGTCGTAATTATTAAGCAGAAATTTGGCTCATCACCAGTCTGAGAGACGGACGGTATGGCACGTGGCCATTGCCTCCCCACCTATGTCCACCAGTCATCATCAAGATGGTTGTTTGCCTAAACGCAACACTAGAAGGCCGCAGGAATTTTGAGTGGATCGTTTGTTTTCTGTTCCTTCCAGCCTCTTTAGTAGTCGACGTGATCATATAGAGTTGCGTATAATATAAGAGGCGTTTTCGATTTTATAAAACAAATGTCAACAATATCTTTATTATCTTTGAAAAAATACAGGTGTAAGCGTGCTGGCCCACAAAAGCAAAGATGCTTGTATGTGGGACCAGGCAGCCAACAAAACACCGTGACACATTGAACACTGGAGAAACAAAACAAACAATTAACAATAATGTAGGAATTTGGGCAACGAATACGCACTAAGTAATTATATAATTATTATTGCGCGAGCGTGAGGCACCATTCTTTTACATTCCGTTTTACCGCACGAAAGGATGATAAGTTCAGCGAAGACTCTGGCAAACGTTTGAACATCGAAGGGACATAGTGTCGTTTTAACTTTTTTCCATAATTTGTGGGTATCTTAGGGACCTTGAACCTATCTGTACGCCGCAAGTTGATTTTTTTCTTTACCTCTTATGCAGTTCTTACACGTTAAAATTATTTTGTGCTATGTATCGTCAGTACACTGGTTACAGAAACATATCTGATCATCTGAATGTTAACATGTTGATACAGAGTTCTGGCATTCCCCCAGCAAAGCAAAAGTGAACGATAAATAACTCCATGACAATATATAAAGCAGGGCAGGTGTCATATAACTAATACCCGCAAAAAAAAAAAGAGAAAAAAGAGCTCGATGGCAGCCACAACATTTTCTCGTGACTTACCAGACCGCCGTCGGGGCAAACGTTCCTTGGCATCCGCAGCGTCTGGGAACGATTAGAGCATCCCACTAGGCACCGTGTTAAAGAATAACCAGTAACACCCTGCAAAGCATTGACACATGATGTCAGAAATAAAAATTAAAATAAAACTATGTCCATTAAAAAAAATTATAAAAAAAGTTGAAAAGGTGAATTTAAAGGCCGGCCCGAGAGCAGAGAAAAGGAACCCGAGCCTTTCATTCCTCCTTGCCAGCCCTCCCACAACATAAAAGGAGGAAATCACCTCTCGTTTTCTCATCGCTATTTTATGACCTTTTTTTTTTCTTCTTCTTTTGACCTCCTGCTTGATTATTATTTTTTTCATTGTTGCGAGTTTGGTGCAGGCACAATGAAAGTTTAAAAGTAAATTTAGAACAATTTAAAAATTTCCTTTCCTTTGTTTTTTTCGCCGTGCCTTTTATTTTTAAAGGGCGAACGATTCCTTTCGTCATCAGGACTCTCACAAGTAACGACACGATTAATCATGGTTAAGGCCAGTCCGAAGGAGTGTCCCATTTACGAGAAGCCCATCAGGTTTTCTTGGCTTCCGCGTCTCAGGAGCGCGGCGTCCAGCGCAGAGAGGGAGCTACTCAAGGACAGCAGGTAGCGGGCACACGGAGTCGGGAATCTCTGTCTGCAGCTTCATATTGACTAATCTGCCTGCGCACCTGGGTTAGGGCCTTTAAAGGGATACTACAACGGAGTTTTGGCGCTCATTTTTCGGTCTATATGTGTTCAAAAAAGCAGTATCACATGGAACATACCAATATCTTGATAAAAAAGTCTCGAAAAGGAATTTTAAAACGAATTAAACGATTAGCAAAGAGCACCTGGTGGATGTCGCTAAGGCCTCGTTTGTAATGCTCGTCTAGGAACCTTGACAGCTAGTGACGGAGGTTGTCTCGTCTCCGGCCACGACGAGAGAAGGGGGGAAGGAGGAACTCCCCTCTTCCCGCGAATCCCTTTTGTGTGTCGCAGAAGTCGCTATTGTCCCCCTACAAGATTATAGAAGATTAACCCGTCACTCAAAATTCGTACAAAAGCAGCCGCTTCGGTGGCTGGAACGACTAGGCCATTCTCTCGACGTCAGCCTCGCCGTAGCTTTGCTCGTCTTGAGACGACCTACGTCACGATTGCGTTGGATGTCACGTGCTCTAAGCTGGGCCTTCTCCGAGCGCTTGCCAGAGTGGGCCGTTTATAACGAAAAATACAGCCACCCGGATCAAAATACAAACGTGCGATTGTCATTTACGGATATTGCGGATCATATTCAACCTATTCTTGAACACGACGGGAATATTTCAAATTTCGTTGAAGTATCCCTTTAAAGGGAAATTGAAGCGGTTGTGTATATGAGTAAAACACTTAAAGGTACACTGACACCCTGCAAAAACAGTTGTTTTGTTTTCATTTTTTGTTAGGCGATTTAGTATGGTGTCAAAAGACTACCCAATGAACATTTTGCTACGGAGTCACTTATATTTTTAATAAAACCAAAAAACGCAACTGCTCGAACACGAAACCTGCGCAAGTCCGGCTTCAGGGCGCCGCCTTTTTGCTCAGTTGGGGCGCGCGTGGACGTAATCGAATAGACCTGTTGCAAAACGTACGGCGCCGCGACGGCAAAGGATTTTTGGAACTCTCGTTACAAATCACGCGCTTTCTCGTTGCGCCTCCGCGACCGCGCGCCAGCAGCCTCCACAGCCGTCGCACCCATCCGCCATCCCGCCCACCCGCCGGAACGTCGTACTTCGTTGGCGGCGCAGTGGCAGCGTGAACGCATCTCTATTCGCATCTTTGAATCCGTTGTTCGTCGTAACTTACCTTCACGTCTGGCAGTGTCACTTCATCCACTTACTTTTCACCTCAAACGTGGTACGGTTAAGCTAGGTTGGACGAAGCGTTGGTGCAGCAGACGACAGAGCCGGTACAAAGGAGAGGGATGAGATAGGGGCGGCCTTGCAAAATAACCAACGCAATACCCTCTCTCCCATTTCCGTGCGCTCGTCTCGTCGCACGTCCGACTCGGCTCTCGGCGGCTCGAACGTTGTTGCCATGGTAACTTGCGCCTGCTCGCGTATACCACGTGGTAGCGGGAATGAAGACGATGGGTCCGATGGGTGGCGCGTACCGAGGACTCCCATTATTCGTCGGGCGGCGCGAGTGGGCTTTTGGGATCTTTGCAAAGGGCCTATTAGGACGCGTCCACGCGCGCCCCAACCGAGCAAGATGGCAGCGCCCTGAAGCCGGACTTGCAAACGTGTATGATGAGGAGAGAATGCCGGAAGTCACGTAACTCCACCCGACAATGCGCTTTTTTTCCTACCATTTTTTTTGGGGGTGGGGGGGGGGGGGGGGCGGGGGATTTGGCGCAGTCGACGACATGCTTTGCGGGAACCGTTTGGCGTGCGATTGCTTTGTAGTTATGTTCGTTCCGCTCGCTGTTCTGCACTTGAGGATGAGTTGTTTTGAACATTGAAGAGCTTTAAATGAGTAGTGAGTGCCCGTGGTGAATTCCCGTGATCGACTTAAAAAGAATGCCCACGAAATGTTGCGTGAAGAACTGGCTCACAGGTCTTGCATCCGAATGTTTCATTGTGCGGCGCAGTCTGAACAAATTTCCGAAAGATCAACGGGGTCGTGACCAATGGCTGGTTGCAATTCGTGCAGAACTGTTACGGGCACCTCGGAAAACGGACACTACCCGATTTATATGCTCCTTGCATTTTGTGGAAAGTGACTACATTAAATTCGCAAGTGTCAAAAAGATAATCCCATACCTTTTTGTTCAGCGACGTTTCGTCCACGACATTTCCTTTTTCCACTAATAATCGTAAAAAAAAAAAGGTGCAAATATCGCAAAATAACAAAAAAACAGTACGTTTACAGTGTGGATTAAGCATGGGTCCGCTCTATGTGAAGCGGACACCTGTCCACTGAGCTACTGGGGGAACTCTTCGGTCGTAGTAATGCAGCAGGTCGACTGTAGGTCGGAAAGTTTGCTTTCGATTTCCCTCCATCAAAGGCACTCCCCAGGCTCAAAGTCGGGCAGCCTTCAATAACCCACGACTTTGATTAAATTTCGTGGTTGTGTATAAATCTTATAGTATATTCGACTGGTCGTTTTTAAGCGCTCCAATCATCTGCATCGAATCTGGGAGACACGGGAGCGCCTCCAAATCCGAGCTAGAGGAACAGCGCGCCAACCAAATGCTCGGCTACTTTTCCGAGCTTCCCAAGCCCCCGAACGCTGACAGGGAACCGGATACCGAGGGCAACTTTCGCGACCACAGCGCTTCTATGGTGCAAGCTACAGCCCGATACGAAGGGTTAGCCAATAGGGAGTTGTAGTAGACCGTTTCTCTCCTCCGCTACGGTATCCACGAAGAAAACGCCGCAGCTGCGCATGCGCCGCCAGCATTGTCTGCATAGTTCAAGGTCTTGTGGCGGATTACGGAGCGCTATCTGGGTGCTTAGCGGGCTGCGGAAACGGTCTACTATAATTCCCCAATACCATTCATCTGCCTAGCGGCCCCGCCGCATGACCGTTTGCCCGCACAGAAAATGGCAGCCTTCAAAGCGGACGCTGGCTTTCGCTGCAGTCCGGTGCCCCGTCAAGCGTCGAGCACCTCGTGAACTCACTGCACAGCACAGAGGGATCTGTGCGGTATTCAAAGGCGGTGGGGCCTCTCGGCCATATCGGCATCTTCACTGGGCATCTTTCTCTTTCAACTCAACAGCGGAAGTGGCTGGAGTCACGTGACCGGTCCTCTGGCACGCGCTCCCACCGCTCCCACTTCGAAGTCAGAGCGCCTTATAGCGCTCTGACTTCCTTTGCCACGCTCCCGCTACGCTCTCGCATCTTTTGTGGGATTGCCCCCTTCACTCCACAGCCCGCTCTCGCGTTCTCTCAACCTTCTCTCCTCCCCCGTCGACTCTCACTGAGTGGCTCAACCCGCCATCCCCTCCCGACCCTGGCCGGGTCCTCGCAGCCTCACAGGCGCTCCTTACGTATCTGGAAGACCCCGAGGCACCTCCACTTGGCTCCAGACTACTGAAACCCCATTAGTCCCTGATCGCTGCCACTCGTCGTCTCGTTCTTCCTGGAAGCTCCCGAGACAACTAAGTGTTTTTTTTTTGTTTTTTTTTACCATACAGCAGGCCACATGTGCTGCCCACTTCTTTGGTCGTTAAATAAATACGTTTCAATGAATGAATGAAAGAGAAGGAACGTACTGTGTTCGCTATTGCGTTAAAAATATGTTTTAAGAATGCCGTTATTAAATATTAAAGAAATGTCGCCTACAAGGTTTTTTAAATTTCATAATAATTGACGTCACAAATAAAACGAAGCAAAAAGGTGAGGAGCGGCAGAGAAAAACGCCAAAAATAGAAGGCGCGCGCGCGCGTGGAGAAATTGTGTTTACGCGTTCGGGTGTTTTTTTGCGTGTCTACAACTGACATCGCTTTCGACAGCAACAAAAAATACGACGTTTAAGTTGTCAGTGCCTCTTTAAGTGTGGAACGCCATAGCTAGAGATATTCACTCTCGCGTGACAGTAAACGTAGTGGCGCCAGTGTGCAAATAGCCGCCAACCACTTCCGGTTCTGACCCAGATGGCGGGTTTCGCAGTATTTGCATAGAGTAATATAGTAAACTTAAAGAGAGGACACAGAAGGTGATTCGCGGCCCAGAATGAGCGTTTAATGCCCTCCGATGCGTGGCGCTTCTCTGTAATTTGGTTAATATTAATGACAGCTCTCTCTCCGAGAAGTTTTTATTTTTTTTAATTGTTATGGCTTTAGAAATATTTATGGTACCTAAAACGACTAAATAGTGTTAATCAAATACGTCACCATAATCACGTGACGAATGCAGGGGGGGGGGGGGGAGGTGCCGTTGCTTCCAATGCACCCTCCTCAGAATTTACGGCGCTCCGTGGGGGCCGCCATGTTAAAACTTGATACCAGTGTTGCTGCATCTGTAGGTCATCTTTAAGTTAGAGCTGACGGAGAAAATCTGGCCACGGCGCAACGCCGATGTGCGCTGGAAGCTAGAGCCG